AACAACTAACTAACGTGAGTTGTGGGGATTTTTATTTTTTTGTTTTTTTTTAAATAATAATAATTATTGTTAGAATTATGAATATAATAATTTGAAACTTTATTATTATATTAAATACCGACAAGGTGAAATCGATTGCGGTGAATGATGTGTTGACTCTCTCATTCTTTTCTTCTCATTCACCAACAACAACATACAATGGTGGGAGGTACGTCCATTAAGATGTTGTAATGGCATAACATCATATATCCGCCCATGACTGCGTCGACTGCGCTCAAGTGATTGCTTAATCTCTGTGACCCGATCTTCAATTGCCTTGTTTACCTTGGCCCATACAGAATCGAGAGAACCAGTTGAAGTTTCCAACCACCCCTTCAAAGATGAATGTGCACTTTCCACTCTACAATTGGTGACATTGCCGAAGTGAAGCACACCATTGGTCCAAAATTTCACAATTTCTCCTTATGATTGTTTAACCAAATGTCCTTCACATAAGAAATCACAGCAGGAAATGCTACAAAGATTCCTCCATTTGCCGAACCGCTCTATTATAATCATCCAATGTGGTGGCATTAAGAATTGGATTCCACCTTGTCAACCTGAAATTTTTTCCTTGATCTTTATTATTCGTTATTTTCTTAACTCTATGCTCTACATCTTTGTTAATATAGCATGCGACCGGGCACATCGAAAATTGAAAAAAAAAGTCCGACATATACCTGACTCGACGGCGTCGACGTTTCATCGTCCCCGCCAAGTGCCTCCGATATGAACGCCGACCGTCGTCGACTCATTTTATATCTTGTGGGTGGTCAAGGTAAAGTCGTGGTGTATGATGGTCAAGGTGGAGTCGTGGTGGTGGACCAGTCAAGGTGAGTGATAGTATTGGTGGTGGAGCTAATGGTGAAGGTGGAGCAAAGGCAAAGTTAGTAATGGTTGGATTGTTATGTAATTTTTAAAATTGTAAGGGGCATGAAAGTCATTTAATACTATAACTTGAGTAATTTCATTGTGGCAAATAGCAATTCACTTTGAATTTAGTCCCTCAACTTCTGTATGTGCACTTTTGTTCCTTCAATCACACAAAGTGGTGTTTCTAAACAGATAGTTTGGGGACTAATCCTAGTCAACAATTGTTTAAGGATCTTAATTGATTATTTGTCGTTTTCCTTTTTTTTTTTCTATAGTATTGATTTCATCAGCATTAAATAAAATATTAGAGTAGTTTTTTTTGCAATACTTTATTTTCTTCTAATAAAAAAAAAACACCTATGCTTATTCAAAAAAAAAAAAAAAAAAAGTAAAAGCATTAATTCAACGCTTTCCTCCTTCTCCATATGCTTATTCCTTTGTTCTTCTAATCACTAATTCTAATTCAACAACAAAAACTTAGATTACTCAAAATAGCAAGAAATCATGAATTAAACGTTCTTTAATTATATAATTCACCCTGAAAAATTCTTAAAAAAATAATTGAATCGGTAAGATCCGACTTGAAACTTGAAAGCGAGTGGTCTGAACGGCGGGTACCCTCAACCACCATGGCAAAGGAAGGAAGCGTTTATCTCCTTGAGCAGATTCACCACTAATAAACCCCTTAATTTATAAGAATAATCTAAGGACAAGAGCGCTGGAAGATACGGGGAAGGCTTGCCACTTACGCTTTGTCATTCATTCCAAGTTTAGAAACCTAGGTAATAGTATCCCAATAAAACGGCTACACGACTAGTTGCAAAGGTGGTAGGTTTTCCGTCGTTGTCATGGTGGGCGAATTTAACGGCGATTTTGGAGGAGAATTTAGGGTTTGTTTGTTGTTTGGTTGGTGGTTGAGCTTGGCCTATTTTTTGGGTGGAACCATTGTCGGAGGAGAGGAGGGAGTTGGAAACCATAAGAGAAGGGAGAAGAGAGAAAATTGGATGGTGGTTAGGGAAGAGGGAGAGAGAGAGAGAGAGGAAGCCATGAAAACAGGTGATTTTTTTTTTTATTTTTTGTGCTTTTTATAAGAAAAGTATTTTTTTTTAGGAAAGAAAAGTGTTGCTTTTTAATTACTTTAGTTTTTTCTGAAAAAATTGTAAAATAAAATGACAAATACTAAATTAAGGTCCCTAAACTATTGCTAACTAAGATTAGTCTCTAAACTATTTGATCAAAAACATGACTCTGGGTGGTTGAGGGACCAAAAGTGCACATACATAAGACAATGGACTAAAATTGCACAAATACAATTGTTTAAGGACTGTATTTGTTCTTTACTTGAATTTTATATAATGCATGTAATTTTAAGTATGTTGGTAAAAGGTTGACCAAGGAGTATAAAATTGAGTCATCTATAAACTTATACTTAAAGCAAATATTAACATAATAATTGCCATGTTGTGGTGAAAATTTTTCCCTCCAATAATCTCTCTCTCTCTCTCTCTCTCTCTTTTTTTTTTTTTTTTTTTTTTTGATAATGAAAATTAGTAAATATTGTGCATGGCTTGGGACTTCAACTAGTAATACAATAAATTTGTAGCATAGCACGCAATCTGATCGCATACAACACACAAAGTCAATAAGTGATGCAACTACATAATTTGAGGGTGCTCATGTACAAACACATCCATGTTTTATGCCATGAGAACAAGACATTGCTTTGGTATAGTTGGTTAACCCATTCATGTATGTAAATTATGTGAGCCTAGAATGAAGGCTATCGAACCACATATTCCACATGTCTAGAATCTTTTGTCTCATCCACTTCTAATTAAGTTTCAACTATGCACTTAAGAGCACCCCATTGGTGGGCTAGCTCACTATTTTCTCTTTCTTACTTTTTTACTCCACATCATTTTCCACTATGATGAGTTACCATTGTAAGTCAATTTTCTAGTTTTTTCTACAATGGTGAGTAACCCCACAATTCTCTCTCCTACTTTATCAATACCCCACCAATTATTATTATTATTATTATTATTATTATTATTATTATTATTATTATTATTATTATTATTATTATTATTATTTATGTTTTAATTATAGTGATTTAATGTTAACAAATTCAATTTTTTTAAAGGAAAAATGAAAACTAAAAATCCAACCTTTGCGCGGTCTGACAATAAAAATCCAACCTTCCATTAATCTCAAAAAAATCCAACCTTTATACCCCACCTTATTTGACAGATCCTTTTGACCTTTAACATGTTAAACCGGTTAAAAAGTTTTTATTTATTTTTTTTATTTCCTTCTCACTCCTCTTCTTTCTCTCTCCTCTCTACACCACCACCACTTCTGCCACCACTTACCCCACCCTACCCAAACCCAAAACCGAAACCCTCTTCCTCCTCTTCCACCTCTCTACACCACCACCACCACCACCTCTGCCACCACTTACCCCACCCTACCCAAAGCTAGAACCGAAACCCTCTTCCTCCAACGTCCCAACCCAAGACCCTAGCCACCCCTGAAAATGTCAGCCTTAACACTCCAAAATCGTGGGCTTTCTCTAATGGGAAATTAATCCTTATTTCGCACTATCATCAACCATTCATCATCACCATCGCTATTTCGCATCATCTGTTATTAAATTGGAGCATCAATTGAAGTCCTTGCTGTGATTGGTGGCCAAAATTTTTGTAATTGATGGTCTGATTATGGTTGTCGATGGCGAATTGGAGCAATCGGGGTTGGTAGCCAAGTCGGGGAGAATTAAATTTTGTTAGGTTGCAGCTTGATTGATTTTGTTGTGGTGCTATGTTGTTGGTGCGATAATGGAGTGTGGAATGGTGGTTGTAGCTTGTGTGGGTGCGTGGCTGGTGCTATGTTGTTGGTGCGATATTGGAGTGTGGGGCTGTTGATAAATGTGCAAAGTGTAGGGGTTGATGGTGGTTGTTGGCAGCGCTGCCGGTCTGTATTTCAGGGGAGGGAGGGGGGGAGGGAGTGGTGGGCTGGTGGCAGGGGAAGGTTTCTGATTTTTTTTATTTTTCTTTTAATAATTAAAAAAACCATTGACCTATTAGTAGCTGACACATGGCATATAACTTACAAAAACCGGTCATCAACAGGTGATGGACATGTCAAAGAAGGTAGGGTATAAAGGTTGGATTTTTTGAGATTAATGAAAGGTTGGATTTTTATTGTCAGACCGCACAAAGGTTGGATTTTTAGTTTCCATTTTTTCCTTTTTTTAATTATTAAAGTAGTCACTACTTAATTTGATAATATAATTAATGCCTACAATAACAATTAACTAATGATCTTATATTTTAATTATTAGTTTTTAAAACTATTAAATTAGTCCTGTTGAGCATGAGTAGTTTCAAAATAATTAAAATAACTAAATACATTAAATTATTATATAAATTAAAATAACAATGTTACAATCAAATTATTGGATTAATAATAAGAAGAAAAAAACGTAACAACAAAGAATCCTAAAAAATAAAAGCTTTCTTCAACTACTAGTTACTATCATTCATTACCAAAGTGACGCCATATAGGTTAAAGCAAGTCTTTCTTCAATGACATATGAATCTCTCTGTTTCGTACATTGTTTCTATTTGCCATATAACCCGCTAAACGTAGTTTGTCTAATCTTCCACGTCTCACTATGAATGGTTCGTTGCCACCTTGATTTGATGATTCGCCAAAATTTTGAGGTTGATCAGCGACAAATTCAGATGTACCGTAATGCGAATAACTTTCTCGTTCATCTTTAACAATCATATTATGCATGATAATACATGCCATAATAATTTTACATCTTTGCGATAACTTTCTTGCTTTTGTGTAAATAATCTTTGTTTAGCGGTTTGTGGAAGCTTGATTGTTGGGATAAATACTGCCCATTTTGGATATATACCATCTGTAAGATAGTGTCCCATATGATATGTATGTATTGCCGTTAACATTGAAACTTACATGTGGGGCTCGACCTTCACAAATATCATCAAACATCAGCGACCGTTGAAGGTCATTTATAACATTGAGGGAGCCTAGTGTGCCAAAAAAGCATGCCATATCTACAAGTCTTGTGACGCAACTGCTTTTAAAATGATGGTTGCTGTTTTACTTCTTCCTTGGTACATTCCTTTCCAAGCACGTGGACAATTTTTCCACTCCCAATGCATACAATCAATACTCCCTAACATACCAGGAAATCCACGAGCATTACTTTCACAAAGAAGTCGTTCTACATCTTTGGATGTCTCCCTCCTCAAATATTCCTGTCCAAAATTTGAGATAACCCCTTCAACAAAGTGTCCAAGACATTCTCTAGCTATACTTGCTGCAATTTTGAGGTATTCGTCAACTGCATCAGCTGCCAAGCCATAAGCTAACATCCTCATAGCTGCAGTGCATTTTGTTAATGCAGATGCGCCGAGTCTTCCGGTAGAGTCATGCCTTTGTTGAAAGCATACGTCATTTTCACTTAGTTTTGTAACAATGCGCTGGAAAACATGTTTATGTATGCGAAATCTGCGATGAAACATAGCGCCATTGTAAAGTGGTTTTGGACTAAAGTAGTAGTTGTATAACCTTGAGTCAACATCTTCAAGGTCTCTTAGTACATACTCCCTTCTTTCTTCACAACATGAGTGGATGAGACTTGAAAAGATGAGGTCACAAGAGGGACAACAACGGAATTAATTGCTTCCTCAATCAGTTCATCTTCTTTAATTACGTCGTTGAGTAATTGATTCGTTCCACTCGGCATAATCGTTCACCATATATTCAAAAACTCCTGAACTTGATGAACTAGATGAATTTGAATCAAAGTCCATTTTTGAAAATAAAAAAATAAAACAAATTGACAGTAGAAAGTATTGTTTACACTTGGGTTTTTTTTTTTTTTTTTTTTTTTTTTTTTTTTTTTTTGGTAACAACATGTATTTTTATTTGTGTATATTAACTACAAATGTAAACCACTAAATATATAGAAATTCATAAGGTATATGGGCACACAACTCAAGAAGATGAAATTTTGGATGAGATATCCAGATTTCCATCCAATAGCATTTAAAGTTAATGCATACAACCTTAGACGATCAGATTTTAGATAAAGTATTAGATTTCTATCCAATTACGATTCATTGTATGGGCACACGGTAATCTAGTAGATAATATTGTTGATAATGTTCTCAGATTGCCATCCAATTACAACATAATGTCTAACATCCCAATCAGAAGATGAAAGAATTACAACTTTAAAGGATATAACAATAACTAAATAAAACACTCCTAAAATAAATAATAAAACCATTACAACATTAAAGGATATAACATAATATTACAAATTAATAAACTAAACATCAAAACTTAAGACAAACTACAAATTTAAGCTTAAATTAACTTAAAAGACGCTCAAACTAGCCTAAGAGATGGCTAAATTCCCCTTTTAGTTTCTGAAGAAGTTTTTCATCATCTTCGGTGAGGTGTGATTTTGCAAGTTGAACACTGAATAATTTGAACCTCTTCTTCTCCTCTTTTCTATGTTTATTCATGATATCTCGCTCCTTTTGATAATCCAACATTTGTTTTGCTAAATCTGCTCACTTCTCATCAACATTTAAGTACTGCTCTTTCATCATATTCATCTCTGATAGGGCTTGGGTGAACAAATCTAAACTATTAATTTTAGAACTAGCAACTGATTTACCTTTTCTTTTAGCCATTTTCACCCTATCGGGTCGTCCACGCCTTCCGTCATTCATAGGATTATCTGGTTCTGATATTTTGGAGCTATCACTTTCATTGGTTTCCGACACTTGATTGTTTGTTGGCTTCCATTTATCACAATTACGCAGCTCTTCGCATATACCGAGTAAAGTGAATTGTGCTCCATTTGTGCTGCTTTATACATTTCTTGAGCATCAATCATGACATTGTGGTTGTTGGTACCACTCCCATTTCTACGTTGTGCTTCCGCGTAGCAACCAACCCATATGTTTAATTCTTTGTTAATTCTACCCCATCGACCTTTCATAGCTCTCAAAGTCCTACGTTGTATGATAGAAGGCTTTTCTACCCTAGCTAGCTCATACAAATCATATATACCTTTCCACATATCCCTCAAAGTCTGATCTGTCGCCTTTTCTGGATCATCAAGAGCACAATGAATCCAAGTGCATCATCTTCTTGTTCTCCCTATTTACCATTGGAAGCGTTGTTGCTCTCTTTTGGGTACACCACGTCAACCTCTTCATCGTCATTGTCATAATCAGTAGCAGTGATTTCGGGGGGAGTTTTGTTACTACTTCCATCTCCCCCAAGAGTTGCTAGATTATTATCTAGTTGGTTATCAAAATGTTGAGACATTGGAAACATTGCTCAAGATAAATAATTTTGGGGAAATTGTTGCACAAATTGTTGTTGAAATTGGTTTGGAAATTGTTGTGAGAACTGGTTACACAATGGTTGATTTGGAGGTATTATTAGCCGATTAGGAATGTTATAATATAACATTATTTGAACATTTTGATTAGAAATGGTATTTGGATTAAAATTAAAATTAGCTTGAATATTTGGATTGTTTGGGGAGTAAAAATTATTTCCTTGATTTGGATTATTAGGATCCATAAGTAGGGTTAATATTTTTTGGATTTAGACAGCATAAAAATTGAATTTTATGGGTTAATAGAGAAAAGGTAAAAATTTACTTGTGAAAATATAGGTCAATATTAGATAAAATTTATGACAAACTCAACGTTAATTTTTTTTTTTTGAAAACCAATGTAGATTTTTTTTTTATTACCGTTATAACATATTTCACACTTTTAAAACTATACAATTTATTGGAAAATGTTCATGCAAATATGTAACGACTACATATTTCAAATGGTATCAATTGTCTTTTGTAGTCTACTGACACAACAAAAAAAAAGCAAGCAATTTCATGCAAACCGACGTCGTTTCCCACAATTCAAAGGCAAAAAAAAAAAATTAAAATAATAAACTTCATGCACACGGTCCAAGGTCGGTGTCAGTGACCTTGAAGAGAGAAGTACCTAATGAAGTGAGTTACTCACAAGTCACCATTTACAATGGTGAGTTACCCCAAACTATGAGAGAGATTGGTGTGGGGAGGTAAGTGAGTTACCCATTGCGGGTGCTCTAAAGTAGGGAGCCACTAACAAATTAAAGGCCTTAGAAACTATCAAAGATATGAAAAAAGGGACAAACTTAATGACAACTTTATATTAAAATAGACATCAATCCATTTAGGTTACACCTTTCAATGAGTCATGAGTTAATTAACTCACATTGGGTTTTAAACTATTTTGGATTTGGCGATATTGGTATGAACTTAATCAGGAGCTAGTATGCGCATATGATTCTATCATTGGCAAGTGGATATTAATTGTTTTTGCGTATCATGCACAACAATGTTAAGCCCTTGAATTATACTAAGTTGTCCCGAGTTAAACACATAGAATAATTATTATTAGTGACCACTTTGAAATTATTTAATTGATTGATGATGTGGCAACTAATTGGTAAAGGTGATTAAAAACAAGTTAAGATGGGTCTAAAACCACAAAATAGTGTTAGGCTTGCTGGGACAAAGTGGAATTTTTGAGCTTTGTTTAAGTTTTGAGTTAAAAACTATCTTTTGGACCCATGCAATGCACGGGTTGTGTATTGGTATATAATATATATTTTTTTATATTTTATATTAAAGGAGGATAAGGGGTGAAATTTGAATATATTGGGGGAAAAATAAACTAAACAACATTAATAATTTAATACATGTATTGAATTAAAGAAAGTTTGAAAGGTTAAATAAGGTGACATTTGCGATTGTTTAAAAAAAAGGTGACATGTGTCATGATAGTTTGTGTTTTTATATAATAACCAGTGTGTGGCCCTGGCTTTGCCCCGAATGATACTTTGAATAATTTCGTTTTTATATTAGACGCTTTAAAAGACGTACTTCATAATTTTTTTATGTGGTAAATTTAAAAACAATGACAACAATAACTCATTTGGATTTTTTTTTTGTTTTATATTACATTATAATACTCATACTATATGTATTTATACATAAATGTGGAAACATATATTATAATTTAATTCTAGCTAAGATGACAATGCATGCAGTTTTTAATCAACAAAGTTTAGGTTTGAATCTCTTTGCATGCATTTTTAATTTAATTTGGATAATTAAATGATGATGTGGCATGATGGTAGAGGTTGTTGAATGATGATGTGGCATAATACGGGTGTAAAGAAGGGGTATACGTGGCACATACACAATTTTATAAACGCCTTTTAATATATAGTATAGATATAATAAATATAAATGTTTTTATAGGGATTTCCAAACTTGCACTAGCGTTTTTTAGGCTAAGTTAGTTCAGAGTGGCCATTGGGCCCAACCACTATTGACCACTTTTGCTAAATAGTCGTCTAATAATTATCTTTATGTCTTTAATATATTTAATCAAATGTCTTCAAATTTGTTCTAATAAAACTCTTTTGGTGTTGAAGCACTTGATGACACGAAGCGAGCTACAACGTTGCCATAATATAAGATCTTACGGCGACAAGCATGCATCTCATTCTAATGGTTTTGTGGGATATCAAGATACATAATGTGATGTTAATGAACTTTATTACAAGTCATGTTATATTGAAGGGATTGTTGGTTTTATATATAGCAACGACCAATCTGTATAAGAGGTAAATCATAAATACACATAGTATTATGTGCTTTATCAGTTTATTTTTAAGTGCGGTGATTTAACTTTTGCGTTTTTTTATATATTGCATCTTGATTTGATTTTTTTACTCATGCTATTATATAATATGTTTTAATGTTTTAAGATTATTCACAATGTAAGTTTTCACATTATCTTTTTCTTACATATTACTAACACACATGATGGTCAAAGTATAGTCTCGGTATATGTGTTGGTTAAACCTTGCATTAAAAAAAATAGAGGTAGTATGTATGTATAGAAGATATGTCTATAAAATATATGTATCTTAACCAAGCATGTTTGATAGAGATAGTGGGGAAATCACCTTGTGACTTTGAGGTCACTAGCTCCCAATTGCATATGCTTGGTCATAACTCTTTATAAATATTACAACAATGAACCATAATGTTACAGAAGGAGGATACATTGCTCCACAAAGCCAACCATCAACCAATGACACCAATGGTTATCTATATGATAGGTGATTTTTAGGTTACTAGGCATAAGACTACATGTGATGTCTTTGCAAGGGTGATTTTCAGTGACTCAAAATTCAGTGAAGTTGTTAATCTTGAAATATGGTTCATTTGATATCTAAGTGAGTATGTGTAGACATCCATTTGTGTCTCCCCAAAACCAAACCCGGTGATGTGTACCTTTCGTGTCGAATTATAATCGAATGAAGTGAAAGTGTGGAAAGTCTAGTGTTGCGGATAGTTTTAATTTCTTTCCTCTTCTCTCTGTTTTTGAAAACCTATTTTAAGAAAACAAACAATCCAGTTTGGTTTAGTCCATAGCAAGGGTCCAATAATGGTGTAGTTTGATGGGGCTTGAAAATAGCTTTCCAACAATATATTATAAACCCAATTCCGATGAATAATGAGGAAGTTATGTCCAAATTACTAAACTGGGTCCGGTTTGATACTTATATGCGGCCCAATGATCTAGAGGAGGGCCTAATATGGATTTATCATTCCTAATGCAATTAGAATTGATTTTAGTCTTCTAGAAGGTTCTTTTCATTCCTAATTCAATTAGCATTGATAAATTGACTTTGGTTGACTTTTTAGAGTTTTTAATCA